AAAAAAAGAAGCCGCAAGAGATATGCATGTGGGCATTTTTTCTTGTGGGCGTTTTTACTGTGGGCATTTCTTCAGTGGGCGTTTTTTCGGGACACCGTACGTGATAGTGTCCAAACTTAAATGGTTTTACCCTATTTTTATGGTCCATCATGATTTGCATTTTTATACTTTAGTGGAGAACCAATTTTGTCCATTAATAATAATTTTCTGGTTTCTGAAGTGGGGGAGGGGGTGGCTATGCCACTGAATGGTATTGGGAACAATGAAGCATTGAAGCACCCTTGGTTTCTTTTGAGCATTTCCTTTGATGTTAATTTTCCATCTCAAGCTGAAGATGAGAAAAGGAGGCAGTGGAAAAACAGACGTACTGAGTTACGAGTAGTCCTGGTTTTATTAGAGTCCCAGGCAGTGAAGTTGACAATGGTTTCATCACACCATATCCATTCATTGTCTGCAGCACTCAGCGATTTGTGAAGTCCCAGCCAAATCACTTCACTTGTGTTGCTCATTGATGCCACCAACGTATCTGTCCCAAGAGGAGGAAAGGTAGTTTCAGACTAGGCAGTCGAGCTATTCCATAGTAAAAAAAAATACATGTATGTGGGGCATTCAAAAATGTATGCACCCTTTTCTTCATGGAATGAAGGCATTTGGTGGCAAATTGATTGCTTTTTGAAATTGTCATTCTCTTGTGTCCTTCATACCAACATTTCAACAAATTCAAGCAGTTATCTGATTGGAAAGAAAGTTCTCGGAATTTCATGAACAATTATTACAAGGGAAAAAGAATGAAAAAAAGTCAAAGTTAAACTCATTTGAATTTTGACCTTGTGCTTAGGTGGATAGGCTACTACAATCCTGATTCTTGGTTCAAGGGAGTTGCATATTGGAGTCAAATCCTGAAAAATTAAGACACAATCAAAAGTGAAAGAAATGCTAATTTTAGCATATGACCACCAGGATGTTACCATATGTGACCAAGTGCCAGCCAACCAGCAAGTCAACCAGCATTATTACAAAGAATTTGTTCAAAACTGCACCCAGAAATCCAGAAAAAGAGACCGAGTCTGCTGGAAGTTGGCACAATCATTCTGCATGATAATGCCAGCTGTCATTCCACCCATCTTGTCTCAGAATTGATGGAGAGATATGAGTGGGAAGTTATGAATCACCCACCCTACAGTCCCAATCTTTCCCCTCATGACTTTTGATTTGATTCCCCTTCTCAGGGAACCCACGAGAGGGACTCGATACTAAATGAATTAGATACTGCTGTGAGCCAGAGGATCAAATGCATTGACAAAGACCACCTCTTGGGCCTAAGGAGTCAAGAAACTACCAGGACGTTGGGATGCTGTAATTGAAAAGAAGGGAGACTATTTTGAAAATTTCTGAATCTCAATAACAGCGGAAGAGTGTCAAGAAGTATTAGAATTATTGAATCAATTACAGAACTTTTTGAATGGCCCTTGTATTTAAGGAAGTTCTGTGGTATCATATTTTTCTTTGTTGTCACATTCAATAACATCTGATTTAACATCTGATAACACATTTGATAACATCTACTGAACATTTTCATCCAAACATTCAATGATATACTTGAGTATGGGAAGTCACAATCAATCATAATTGATTGAAGGGAAAGGATATATGAGATCATGAAAATTTACTTATAGGGGTTTTAAAGTCAATTTCATAATGGTGATGTATAAGACAAAGACATCTGAGAATTGAGACAAAAATGCTTTTCTCATACATTCAGCATCTGAAAGATTTTGTAACTTCCTGATGCATTTCAAACAATATTTTCAATTTTTCCTATGTCTGATACTTTCAGTCAGGATTTGACTCCAATATGCAACTCCCTTGAACCAAGAATCAGGATTGTAGTAGCCTATCCACCTAAGCACAAGGTCAAAATTCAAATGAGTTTAACTTTGACTTTTTTTCATTCTTTTTCCCTTTATGCTTCTGGGATATAAGATGTTAGCCAAGTATGAGAATTGCCTTGCCCTTCTCACCTTCTTCAATGGAATGGATGGAGACAAGGTCAGTGTAGGGGCTCTCATTCCTGCAAGTGCTTCTTGCATCCCCCCATGTCTTCTTCTCTGTCCACAATTTGTAGCAACGTCCCTCTGGAATATGATTACTTATTAGAAATCAAATACTTTTTTCTAAAATGCATGCTCATGGAGATATATCAGGGACATCAATCAACTCAGTGGCTCAGCAGTACTTTGACATTCAAAAACTTTAATGAAGCAATCAGTTACTAGCAATGGATGGCACCTGGCTGCACAGTCCTCATGCTCTACCTTATTACAGATATCCTTGGCTGCTACAGCATATTGTGAAAAGCTTCTTTGTCAGAGCAAAAAGTTTCTTTCTCTTCTTTTTCTCTAGGAACTCCTCTTCAACAATCTCTGATAAAGGAAAGGGTTATCTGTACCAACAAATCAACTTCACAAGCACAGGTGGACATTGCTAGATTGCTGCAAGACATGGGCAAGCTGTGATAGAAAAAAATCAAATCCAAATGATTGGGAAGGTGCCCTCAGCAGATTGCTGCCAAGCAGCTGACTTTAGGAATGCATCCATCGTCACCATAGAAGGTCCAGCCTGGACGGCAGTGGTCAGGCAGAGGGGGAGGGGGCGGCTCCGTCGGATGACAGTTTCCCAGGCACTTCTCGCACACGTACCCCCGGGGAAGAGCACAGTGATCATCATTCCAATAACCTGGAAACAATGATACCCATATGCATAACGATAATAATTTGGGTTATTTAATCCAATAAAGGAATCTGTAATTCTTGTTCCCTTCAAACTCCCCATTTCATTCCACTACAGCCTGTCTTAGGAATTGATTCTAAGAGATCATTTTAAGCATGGCACTGTAGCTGCAAGTTTGAGTAGCTCACATCTGTTTCTCAGCATTCCATATGATTCAGTAATCCAGAAACATGGATTTTGACTTCATAAATGGACAAATAGCATGGACATTGACAAAGATTTTATCAGTTATAATTGTGAGGTGTGAGAGTAAATTTATGAACAGGCATGCCATTCAGAATCAAACATCACTTGCATATTTTCCATCTCCAATTTTGATATGCTGTATACAGTTGGAGGTGACTTTCCATTTTTATTTTTACTGCCTTAAATATATATGAACATCCTATTTCTTGAAACCCATGGGATCTGTTCAATATCATAGTGAGAGGTATGGAATAAAAACAACAAACAAACAAAATTTCAGGTTTGATCTTCATTTTGGTTGGCTGAGGGAGGAATGAAGCAAGACCATAATAGGTAGCAGCATAAAAGACTTGCCATGAGTTGCTGAATAGCATGCGACACTCAAGTTTTCATGTTACAAGCTTGATTTTGGACATATGACATTCTTCAATTACATCCTAGTATTTCACAATTTCTTTACAAAAAACAACTATGGATGAAAAGGAAAACCTGGTTCTTGAAAAAAGTAAAAATAAAAGCACTTATCTATGATTACATGTCTCCTTATATCTGCACAGATGTGATCAGCCTCAACTTTCTCTATAAAATCTTTCTCCAGAATTATATGCAGAACATTTTATAGTTCCTCAATCAATAGGCCTCTGGCTTCTTTCTCTTTCCCCCATAGCTATCCTGATGTACCTACACAAAACTTCGCAAGATCAGGAATGGGTTTTGGGGCTTTTATGGAATCCTTCTAGGATGTCTGGGCAATTTCAAAGTTATGGATGTTACACCAGACTCAAAATGAAAACAAGTTCGATTGTATACTTTGGAGATTTGGCACAGAAATTATAATCAACAGTGCTTTACAGATCATAGATAATTGCACCTATTCCAACTAAAAATGTGTAATTTCTCCCTTTGGATGAAGAAAAGTAAGGCAAATCATCTGGAGTTACTGACGTAACATAGTTTAGACAATAGTTTTCGTTCTGCTGCTTCTCTTCATATTCTGATTTGGCTCGAACTGGAGCTTCTATATTTTCAAGAGCATCACCTTTCTTCGTGCCAAATGGCACTAGCTGTTGATAAAAAATGAAGTGGCTAGGAGAGTTTTCCAGCGTTACTGACGAAACAAATTTGTCCAAAACAAGGTTCACAAAGCATAAGGGTCTCTCCACCGTGTCGGATGTGATATCCGGAGTAATATGTTTAGTATACGAAATGTATTTAAGTATATTATGGATGACAAATCAGCATATAAAGGCTGCAACAATTTGCTTTAGGTAGTGACTGAAAATTTCATAATCCAAAGTCTTGCACTCTCTTTTTTGTTAGAGGTTTACCTAGGTGTAAAAAAAAAGTGTGAGGCGTGACATTTCGTGAAACCTAAAGATTAAAAGCACTTGCTCTAACTTTCACATATCTGTCATCGAGCGGCCCATAACAATTTAATTTCATGTTCATTCGATTGATTAAATGAAAGCCTGGAATTAGGACAAGTCACCCCAAGACACTTAGAAAAGAAAGTAAGCCTATTTTGTGACCGTGTCAGATGTGACAGGAGAGTGTCGGATGTGACATGTTCTGAAAGTGCATTTTAAAACAAGAAGTCTGTACATATCTTTTAATGTTATTTTAAAGATATCATTCAAATGTGAACAAATGAAATCTATTCTTCACACCTGAGCCGATTTGCAATTTTCAGTATGCATAGAGAACCCATGCTGGCATCTGTTCCAGTCCAATTCAGTCTCTCCAGATTTGCATTTTCATCACATCACCACACCATATGAGAGTGGTATGAATAATATATCATAACCATGACTAATTCTTAGATTTTTCAATGTAATGCTCTCCTTCATTCATGCCTTCTGGGAAAAAGAGATGATGAACTTCTGTAGCGAAAGTAACATTTGCATATTAAGGGAAATTTTCAGCTAAAATCCTAGGACCACTTGACGTGGACCTAAGTTAAAGTGATCAAAATGGAGTGTTGTAGAAAAAAAAAAGCTCATGTCAGGTGACGCAAGTATTATTTAGTCTAAGTTTAGTATCCATACAATGCAGAGAAATTAAGCTGGAGGGAATTTTTGGTAAACATTTTTATACCACTTTCGTCCCCATTCCCCTGGAACTGCCCGTCTGTCTCCTGATCACACTCAAATCTCCCCTTTGTATACGGAGGCAGAGAGAAAATAAAGATTAAAGCTTAATCCGGAGAATTCACCATTGTCAGGAAAGAAAGAGATGCAGGATTCCTGGTCCTCGTGGTCGTTCGGTTCTCCACTGCTCCAATAAAAGAAATCCACCAGCGTCATATCGCTCCACCTGTACTCGTCCTCCGCCAGTCCGTGACCCGTGAGACCCGCCCACATCCGATCGTCGCGGTAGTAGCGTGTCAGCTGCCAATGCGTTTCAATCGTTTCACTCTTCCATCATTTTGAACATACTCCTAGACATTTCATTAGAGCTATTTCATTTCTCACTTACATCAAGCCCTGCATTTTTATTTTACACATCTCATCGCTCCCACCATCTTCAACACTTCAAATTCCATTGCTCTTCCAGTGTCATGAACATCTCTCCCCATTCACAGACTCCAAGAAACAAAGGGAACGGAAAGACAGGCCAGAACTCACCACGGAGACGACGAAGCCGACCTCGTCCACACCGTGGAAGGAGACCAAGTCCCCACCCTTGCCCCGACAGGCGTCCACAGCGTGGAACCAACTCACTTCGTTCTCTGGAATCTCCCCCGAGTCCCCAAACTTGGACGCATAGTAATAGCAGCTATCCCCGTACTTATACCACTCGTCGAGCTCCCCATCGCACTTCTCCTCTGCCCAGTCAAGCAGGAACACCAGACAAAATTAGCCACAATTGTTTACAATAACGGTTTGGCTTTTTGGCATGCTCAAGATGGATCTCGTGCTCGTTGATAACTGTGCAGGCTGAATACGGCATCTCAAGTTTTCATGCCCGCAATTTTGCAAAAAGTTTGCACAATCAATCTATCTCGTTTAACTCTTCAGGCGAGATTTAACGGTTGTGCTTTTAACTTTTTTTGTTAACTTTATTTCCACCTCTGAGGTGCGTCGATGAACAGGCATACAGAATTAGCACAACCTGATTTCATTCAATCTGCTGACTTTGTACTTCTCATTGTAAACCGAATACATCAGTACACAGAAGAGCCGCCCAAAAAATCATTCAAACACATCTATAACTTCAAACTATTTTTTATCGCTGACTTATCACTTCATCGGCCGGCAATATCGTCGGTCGCCCGGCATCTCACGAACACGTTCTCAGATTTCTAGGAGTTCAGGGTGAAAACTTACTCTTTCTTTTTTGCAGATGTGTGGAATGGAAATCCCTTAATGGAATACTCATGCGAAGAGCTTTCACCAAGACCGAGACAGGACGTGGTCGGGATGCTAAAAAATGTCAGGATTGCTGGAAACGCGTGCCGGACGCCGCTAGTGCCGGCTCTATGGCGTCTCCTCTCATGCAAAACGTTACCCTCTCGCTCGTCTTAATTTAACCGCTTTTTCCCTTATCTATATCTGAAGGGTCTTCTGACAGGTTGAAAGAGGGGAGAAAACCGTAATTTTTTTTTTTTACTTCAGTTTCACCGTCCCAATTTTACCTCGGGTAAAAATTTTTCGTAAGGGAAGCTCACAAACATAAGCAAAATTGAACTTGCCGGTGGCGTGACACGCCGCCCGGAAAAAATGCGTTCGTGACGTGCTGGGTGACTGAATTGACGGCTGATGAAATATGAGACACAGTTTTGAAATTACAGATGTGTTGCAATGACTTTTTTTTACGACCCTCGTAAACTGAAAAAGAAAACCGATCAGGTTAATTTAATTATCAAATCAGGAGCAAAAAAAAATAAAGACTACAGTTTGATTGGTTAAGCAATAATATTAGCAGCCTTACACTTTAATTGCACCTTGCGCTACTCTGTCATTTTCATGTTAGCCACTCTCTCCCTCTCTCACACATTTTAACTCACCTTTTGGAAACTCGGGATCTTTGATGTCAGAATCATTGAGACCTGAAAAAAAGGAATATTCAGTCCCTTGCAAATTTCTCAATTACATTTTCACCTGAAATCGGCAGGGAACTTCTAGAACTATCCTAAACGAACAGAAGCACTCAACCTTATCTGCTTCCTCTTCTCCGAGAACAATTGTAACTTTCCCTTCTGGGGAAATGCTTGTAAGAGATTACATCTGCAATCGCTTGTGTGTGAAACCTAACGAGAACCATTCATCGTGTAAACGACGGAGGGTGACTCTGCCAGAAAATTCGAAAGGATCAGACGAAGAATCGAGAAGCGGGAAGAACAATTTCAGCAAACGAGGATCTTAAAAACGAAAAAAAGGGAAAGAAATCCGGGACGCGAGATGAAACTCCATACCCGTGGGGAGCTGGCAGACGAATGGAAGGGAGATGTAGCAGGTACGAGGGAACCATCCCTTGTCCCACGTGCTCTTCCGCATGAAGGCCAGGCAGTGCTCCCGTTCCGCCTCCAGGGAGCCGGGTGCCGGGGGAGTCCATAAGGTCTCCAGGAGGTCCGTCCCGTCGCTCCATTTCCACGTCCCTGGGTGCCCAAATGGAAAATATTCAAATGTCACATAAAGAGGAATGCTTCAGCTTGCAATAATGATTATTCGTATCGATGAAGGGGGGGGGGGGGGGGGAAAAAATTAATTCAACTCTGTTACTTTTGCAAAACAACACCAAGGCGGATACGACACGGAAGAAAAATTTTCAGAGGTTAAGGGATAACTCATATAAACCGTATGTTAAAATAATTTCTTTTTTAAATTAGCCTAAAAATAAAAGAGAGGTTTAACTAGTCACGACTCAAAACTGCATTTTACATTTTTAGGTACAGCATGTTTAATATTTGAACTTGAACTGCAATAAAATGTTGGTTGGAAAGGAATACATATGAGAGCTGAGGTAGGCTTCGTCCATAAATTAGATCAAGTTTTCTACCTTCGTGATGAGAAGTTTGCATAAAAGCCTCAGGTAAAAAAAAAAAAAACGATACGAGACCGAAGCTCGAGAAAAAAAATAATAAAATGAGAAAATAACCCTCTTTTATTCTATAATACAGGGTGTCCATAAATGTATGTCTCAAAAAATAATCTGTAATAATTCAGTAGCAAATTATTGCCATGAAACCCCCCATGCATAAACCTGTACATTTTTTTGCGGTGAGGTCTTTCGTCAGAAATATTCACGTCAGTCCTCCCCAAGTCCATCGTCTCGCCAACGACAGAATTGCCAGCGGCACGAGAGTGCCCGCCCACGTCTTCGCCGACACTTCCAACGCGATGCTGCGGGGAATGCTTCCTGTATGCCAAGGGGGGAGGGGGGGCAAGTGGCCAAACTTCTTGACCTTACGAGCCTCGTAGCAAAATCCTCAATTGGCCGATTGCCACACGACAGGCACCACTTTAAAAAATGCATTCTCTTAGGTCAACACTCCGGTTTCGCAAAAACGTTCGCATCCTATGTGAATTTTGCGATACTCTCGAGTGTTTACACCTCATTTAAAGAGACATGAAGGCGGAGCCTATCGGTTGACCTCCTTTTCATCCCTTTACCTCTTTCGTCTTCCTTTATTGATTTGCGAAATCTAGCAATGTAGTATTACCTACATCTGCGCAACATCGGGACACATGTTCGGCAAGTTTTAATATCAACAGTGTCTGGATTTTAGGCCTATCACCTTTTCAGACTTCCCGAATCTGCAGATACGCATGCGAGTACAAACGCCTCAAGGAATCGGAAAAAGTTGCGATTTTTAGCGAATGTAATGAAAGCTCAAGTTCTCAAATAAGAGCGATATCCTTTGTTTTCCATACTACAGTCATATCGCATACATTTGGAGAAAATTTATTGTGATCTGGTGATCGAGTTAATGTCTCAAGAGACTCGGCGAAAAGTTCATTATCACCGGTGGATGATTAAATATATATCCTTCGGAACACACGGACCCCAATAGCTCTTGAACCAGCATTTCACCGCGAGCACACACTTGAACTGCCGGGGGAGCCGCGGTTCGGCCACCCACTGCTCCGTGCGGTTCCTCGGGTCCGTCACGTCACGCAGTCTCTGGGAAAACACCTTTTCTTTGATATGACCCGATCGCATTTCCTATCGACATCTTCGTCTGGGGTCACATCAAGGAAAAGATGTACGCCTAGAGACTGCGCGATGTGACAGACCCAAGGAACCGCATGCAGGAAGCATTCCCCACGGCGTCGCGCGGGAAATGTCGGCGAACACGTGGGCTGGCTCTCTCTGTCGTCGGCGAGACGATGGACTCGTGGAGGACTGAAATTAATATATCTCACAAAAGACCTAACGGCAAAAAAATGTACAGGTAATGAGTTTATGCATGGGGGTTTCATGGCAATGAAGTCATTTGCTACTGAATTATGAGAGATTACTTTTGCGCCATACCTTTATGGACACGCTCTGGAATCTCCGGTATGATAAAAGAGACAAGAAAATGGCCTTGCCGGATTCGTTGTGAAGGCCGAGCCAGGTCTCATCGGCCGCCATGTTACTGCAAAGGAAGAAAAACACATCCAGACCAAAAAATCCTGCAGACTGATACACACGAGACCCGGAACGAGAAACGAACTCGACAAAGTTCTTCTCCTCTACGGAACCGACGACGACGAGATCCCCCCCGCTGTGGATGCCGTGGCAGGCCAGGCGCGCCTGGTCCCAGGTCAGCTTCGAGTCGCCGTCCGAGGTCCCGATCAGCTAAAGAGAGAAAATGGTGCGGATCGTCGACTCGGGCCGTCTGTCACCGTTGGCCGAAGAACCGTTCCGTCTTCGAGCGACCGAGCGAACACGCCGAACGACCACCGCACTTTCGACGGAGCCTGCTCGCACGGGCAAATCGCGAGAAATAAAAAACCGGCGAGGCGTGCACTCCGGTATTTGGGATGGACTCCGTTTTATCCGATCCCGATCTCGACTCGATCCCGATCGAGTCGCTCCAATATCCCGCGTGAAATATCCACAAAAACGCTCATCAGACGCATCGAGGAACGGAATAATTCTTTCGAACGAACTCAACACGAGATAACGACCGACACGCGACACACCGCCTCGAGTCTCGCGAATACTTACTCTTTTTGCACATCCGTTCTCTATTATTCATACATATTAATATTACTTAGTATATTATATTACTTACACTTTTACGCATGCGACCGCTTCCAATTAAAATGCACCGTCATCTAGCGGTCATAGCAGAAAACCTTCGCACCCCATCAACTCCTATCAAAAGATATCCGATTCTCCCCTTCGAAGTCGTGTCCAAAGAAACATCGGGCGGTTCCTTCGCAACGACCCTGTCTTTCTCGAAGAACAGCCGACCCACTACCAAAGCCGAGTCCTGTACAAGCCATAACCAGTGCGCAGGGCTGAAATTCGACTCGATGCGCGATCGAAGATCCGCCAAATCCAGAAATTCCCTGGTACTATTCTGCAAGGGAAGTTGCGAACTGCAAGGTAGAGCAAACTGTTCTATAAGTTTTAGAACAGTAAAACAAAAAAAACGTATTGAAAGGGCCCCAGACTTTCAAGACATTTTCCCTCATGAGCTCAAAATCTGAGATTCGCTTTGTTCATAAGAAAGAGAGGAGAGAAAACAATTTTATCCTAGGACCACACGATGGCAAAACAGCCTGCAGAGTCCTTTATTAAATAAAGGGCAGCAAAAGACCCCATCCCGATCCAGAAATGCTTCTGCCGCCAGGCTGTCGATTCAAACGATTCATTAGGTACGGCTCGTACCTAATGAATCGGAAGCGATCCCTGCTTCAGTCTGTCGGTGCCGCTGTTGACGATCGGTTGGCTCGACCGGCCTCGCGACTCAAATGCATTGCAGACTCGAGCCTATGAAAGTGAGGAAGTGATAGCATGGCTTGGAATGACTCAAGCCAATGAGGAAAAAAGGGAAAAGGGGGGGGGGGGGGGGGGGGGGGGGGGGGGG